AGTTTGCAGTGAGCCGAGATCGCGCCACTGCACTCCAGCCTGGGCGACAGAGCGAGACTCCGTCTCAAAAAAAAAAAAAAATTCTGGCAGCTTGACGGAACAGCAGACACCCGTTGACACCTGGGTGGAGAGAGACCGCAGTGCTGGGACACAGGCTCGATTTGTAGAACCAACTATTTTAGAACAGTGCATGCTGTCCTGTTGATTCTTTTGACTTCTGATTTTGTTGACGCATTACCAAGGGAAGCGTTGAAGGCCCTGAACGTATTTGTGTTACCCAAATGCACCCGGTCCCTAGCAGACAAGACAGAGCTCATTATCATCAGATCCACAGGGGAACTCGCACTCACTCTCCCCAGGGAACAGCCCTAGAGGTGATCTGTCTGCTCTCCTGGCAGGGGCTGCAGCCTGGCATACACGCCGGGCCTGGTTTCTCCACCTGCCCTTGGGTAGGTCTTGCCCGCCTAGGGCCACTCAGGGAGCAGCAGGCAGGAGAGGCTGCGCGGGAGCCATGCCGTGCGGAGCCAGCATTTGGTTTTGGCAGGAAGTCCCTAGTGTCTGACTCTGTTTTTTATTTTTTTTGAGACGGAGTCTTGGTCTGTCGCCCAGGCTGGAGTGCAGTGGTGCGATATCGGCTCACTGCAAGCTCCACCTCCTGGGTTCATGCCATTCTCCTGCCTCAGCCTCCTGAGTAGCTGGGACTACAGGCGCCTGCCACCACACCCGGCTAAGTTTTTGGTATTTTTAGTAGAGATGGGGTTTCACCGTGTTAGCCAGGATGGTCTCGATCTCCTGACCTCGTGATCTGCCCGCCTCTGCCTCCCAAAGTGCTGGCATTGCAGGCGTGAGCCACCGCGCCCGGCCGTGTCTTGACTCTTTAAAGATGAGCCATCAGAAAATTCACCCCGGAGCCCAAATGCACTGTGGGAGGAATCAGCCACAGTTGTCAGGCTTTCTGGGCACAGAGGGCGTGTCTGCTCCTGGCTCTCGCCTGGACGGCCTTTCCTTCAATGCTGGCTTGCTCGCCTGTGTGCTGGGCAAAAAAGCTCAGGTCCCCTCCTGGCCGGAGCCCTTTCCCACTCATCCCTTTCTGTCACTTCTCTTTCCTAGTGGAGACCATCCTGGGCCTCACGGGTGCGACCATGGGAAGCCTCATCTGCTTCATCTGCCCGGCTCTGATCTACAAGAAAATCCACAAGAACGCGCTTTCCTCCCAGGTGCGCACCGCTTGAGGGCTGGCCTGGACCATGGCTGATTGGTCTGGGCTGGGGCGAGGTGAAGTCGGAAGGGAAGCCCCTGGTTCAGCGTTTTCAGACGGGTTCTGTCAAGAAACTTAAAACCCACAAAAGGGACTTGGTCCAGTCAGCCTGGGGAACCCTGGGTTCACCAGGACGCACGGTCTTTGCCCAGCAGGGCCACACTGACCTGCTCCAGCTGTGCATCAGGTTTTCCTGAGGCCGACTGTGCTGAGTCGTAAGCTCTTTCCCCGTGGTGTTTCTGCAGTGACTGCTTGTCCATGGATCTGCTGCCAGCTCTGAGTCCCCTCCCCAGCCGCCCACCCCCGAGGCCACCACCCGCTGTTGTTCCTGGTGCGACCCTCGTGTGGCAGTCTGTGCACGTCCACTCACGCGGCGGTCTGTGCGCGCGCATGTGCGTTTTTCTTTAATCGTAACACAGTTTCCTGCTGCTTTTCTCAAAATCCCGTGCAGGTCAGGTTGCCCCACAGCCGTGGGCACAGAACTGCCTGGCTATTTTTAGCCATTTCATGGTGTTCCGTGGTAGAAAAATTCCATAATCCCAGTCTCCGAAGTACTTACCTCTCCGGTCTTCTGGTATTGCAAACAAAATTGCGCTGAATATGTGTTCGTGAGCATGTCGACGTGTTTGAGCGTGTGTCTGTAGGAAGCCTTTTAGAAGTGGAATCCTGTGTCAGGGGTGTGAGCATTTGTAAACGTGCTGGCTCTACCCAAATTGCCTGCAGCGTCACTCCCAGCCAGGCCCAAGGCTTCTGTCCCCGCACCCAGGACCTTCCAGGCTTCATCATTCTTGGCCTCTCTGGCGGGAGCTTGAGCGTCTTTTCGTGGGTTTAGAAGCCACTTGTGTTTCTTTTTCTGTGAACTGCCTGGGTTCTTTGCTCACTTTTTAGGGAGTTGTTGAGCTTTTTCTTACTGGTATATATTGATAATTTTTTTTTTTTTCTTTCGAGACAGAGTTTCACTCTTGTTGCCCAGGCTGGAGTGCAGTGGTGCAATCTCAGCTCACTGCAGCCTCCGCCTCCCGGGTTCAAGTGATTCTCCTGCCTCAGTCTCCCGAGTAGCTGAGATTACAGGCACACGTCACCACGCCCGGCTAATTTTGTAGTTTTAGTGAGACGGGGTTTCTCCATGTTGGTCACACTGGTCTTGAACTCTTGACCCCAGGTGATCCACCCGCCTCGACCTCCCAAAGTGCTGGGATTACAGGTGTGAGCCACCGCACCTGGCCTCAACCTGGTAAGTTTTTACAAAGTGAACCACGTGGAACCACCATCCAGAGCAGACATAGGACATCCCAGCACCCCAGAGCTCCCCGTGGGTGCCTCACTGTCATCCACCCCCACCCCAAAGATCACTGCCCATCTGTCCGCCAGCATTCTAGAGTGATCTTGCCTGTCTTCAAGTTGTGGTAAATAGATTCTTACAGTGTACGTTAGAATACATGTCCACGTGTGTCAGCCACTTCTTCAGCATCTCGGCTCACTGCGACCTCTGCCTCCTGGGTTCAAGCAATTCTCCTGCTTCAGCTTCCTGAGTAGCTGGGATTCCAGGTGCGCGCCACTACACCCATCTAATTTTTGTATTTTTAGTAGAGATGGGGTTTTACCATGTTGGCCAGGCTGGTCTCAAACTCCTGACCTCAAATGATCCACCTGCCTCAGCCTCCCAAAGTGCTGGGATTACAGACGTGAGCCACTGCGCCTGGCCCCTTATTGATTTTTTGATCATGTTGTTTATGAGTTGTGAGAAAAGTATGATAATTCCTACTGTAATTGTAGATTTATTTGTCCTTTTAGTTCTATCACTTTTTGCTTTTTAGTTTGAAGCCATGTTATTAGGAGCAGACAGATTGAAGTTGGTTATATCTCCATTTTGAATTGACTTTTTTCTTGTTGAATATTCCTTTTTATCGTTGGAAATACTTTCTCCTTCAAGTTGGCTTTGTAGCTAACTTAGCTCTGCTTTGGGTTTGTGCAGGGTGGCTTGTTTCATCCCTTTTCTTTTGATTTCTCTAGTCCATCATATTCACAGTGTGTCTCTTACAATAGCACGTAGCTGACTTTTGTCTTGTTGGTATTCAGTCTGTGAATGGGAGTATTTAAGACTATTTACGGTTAATATAATAACTGATTTTTGGGAGAAAACTTTTAACTTATGTCCTATTATTTGTCTCATATGTCCTTTTTC